CATGTGGGCTTGTAGGGGAAGATGTGGTCACAAAGATAGGCAGGTCCTGAACTATTTAGAGCTTTTTAGGCGATAACCTGCACCGGAAACTTATCGGCAGGGGGGTTAACCGCTCCCTTTAACTTGCTCCAGTTAGCAACCTTGGCTGCTGATTTTTGCACCAACTGCAGTTTCTGGGCCATCTTCGAAGGCAATCCCACGTGGAATGCATTGCAGTAATCCATCCTTGGGGTAACTAAGGTGTGGACCACCATGGTCAAGTCAGACTTCTCGAGGTACGATCACCGCTGGTGCACAAGTTTTAACTGTGCAAAGGCCCTCCCAACCACTGCCGACACCTGGGCATCAAATGTCAGTGCTGATTTCAGGAGGACYCCCAGACTGCGGACCTGTGTCTTCAGGGGGAGTGTAAYCCCRTCAAGCACAGATTGCYATAAGTTTACTTTGTGTGTCTAATATCTAGTCTCTTGCTGTTGTTTTTGYGTGCCTTCAAGTTGTTTCTGAATTATTGCAACCTTCAGGTGACCCTATTACAGGGTTTCCKTAACAAGCTTTGTTTTCCTTTGCCTTCCTGAAGGTGAGARCATGTGACTTGCCCAAGGTCKCCCAGCRGACTTCCATGGGCAAYGAGGATCTAAAYCCTGGCCCTCAGAATCATYRTCCAACTTTCAAACTATTAWGCCAYGCTGGCTCCRATATCTAGTGGAAGCTACCTTTTATTTTAACAAGATATTWTTTTTATTTTCACAACAACACAATATAAATCTCTCTTATTATAATCAAAAGCACTTAAGGGTGCATTTGCTCAGYTGATTTTTTTTTCAACCAACATAATTTTATCTGACACTGCAAAAGCTTTCAAGGTCCCTAAAATATCAAGGGCACAAAGGCACATGCCTATTCTGTCTAGCGGTAAATCTAATCCTGTCAGAAAGGATTTCGGGGCCTTGAGACAAATCCTCTTTTAAATCTTCAAATATTTTTTCTCTATTTTTGGCCTACCAGTCACTGATAGTTTTAATTACATAAATATCTTCTGGAAAAAGCAATGACTCTATATTGTGTTATTGCTGTCCCACCAGCTGTTTAATCCTTTTTGTGTGTTAGCTTTTTTTTCACATCATAATTTTTTTTCACATTAAAAATTCACCGTCAGGGATACATTAGTGCTTCTTTGTGCTTGCTAAATGTTCTCTATGTATGTCCTGGGAGTAGAACATGAGTATGAGGCCATAAAGAGTTGCAGGGGAAAATATGCCAGGAGTTATTCCTGGAGGTATCTATCTATGTCACAGTAGGAGGCCTTTGTGGAAGTCTGTTTGTTGTAAGGTTCATTTCACAGTCATTGGTATTTTTAGAAACTTCAGGAGGTAAACACAGAATTTTCAAAACACATCTCACCTTCCTTGCTACCTTCATTAAGATTCAGAAGGTAGCTTTATTAGGTGTCGCCCAATTCATTCTGAAGGCTATCACACAGTTTTCTTTGCATGTTCTCATCATGCAGATTTCCAGATCTAAATTGATCTGTAAGCAAGGGACTGGAACCTTGGAAAAGACAACTATCTTAGGAAGAGGGAATTAGAGTGGAAAATCTCAAAGATCCATCTATTGTTCTGCTCTGAGCCATGGCTGTTCTGGCCTTTCTCATAAATGTATAGGTAGGAACAGAAGGCAGAAACTCCTTCCCTCATTGTCTGTACACAGACATCCAGAAAACATATAAGGAAGAAAACAGAAGTAAACACATACCATTGGGTACCCTTGAATTAGTGGGGTCATCATGTGTCTATTCTTACTTGCAGGGAAAATGGGTTTCCAGCATTATACCATATGTACTAAAGAGAGGGAGGGAGAACCCATTGCTGGTACACTTTGTAAATGGAAGAGAAATGGAGTGACACACTATGGGCAGTCCCCATGTAACAGGCATCTGCCTTACATATTACTCATAGTTAAGAACAGGGGTGAGACAACAGGAAGTCAGAGAAATATATCTCTAGGAAGGAAAATTCACTCTTGGAAAAAGGGAAAAGGTGTCTTCACTGAAGTTTTCTAGCCAATGCTTGTTTCCACAACATTTACAAAATCCAATTGTGATAGGGACAGGAAGCGAGGGTAAAACTTCTAAACAGGGGCACAGACAGCAAAACAAATGTCACAGGAGGGTTAACCCTCCCTATGCTATCCAAAGCTTATATATATATTTGTCTGGAGTTACATTTAAAAACATACCTGTTCTAAGTTACAGACAAAATTAAAAAATAAACCTACAGAACCTATGTTGTCTGTAATTTGGGGACTGCCAGTAAGTTTCCCTTTTGCTGTGGAAAGAGCGGTCCCCTTGAGATATTTTTTTTCTGTGAGAAAGACAAGAGACACATCACATGTGTCTCTTACCTCAAACTACCTGGAGAAGATAATCTGCATGGGAATTAAATAGAGCTACAGTGGGTCACTGCCCTACTGGTTACAGGAAGGCAGACATTGCACTGGACTCTCAATATCCCCCCTCTCCCCAGTTTTTGGGAGTACTAAACATCCCTTAAACCATAGGAAAACACAAGGAATGAGCTGAAGCAATGTCTACATCACACGTGTCAAACCCCTTCAATGGTAGAGCAACATAGTTACATTTGTAGTTTTACAATTACAAATGCCCCTTTGAAGGCAACCATAAGATGATGTGGCCCTCGGTGAAAGTGATTTTGACACCCCTGATCTACACCATGATCACAAAGGTTACGAAATGTGAGGATTTGCATTTACTGGATAGAGAGTGGCATTAGCAACATTGCCCCCACTTTCCAGAACCAGACTCACCTGAGACACATTCCCCTTTTTCTTTTGGATAGCTGTATATGTTTGAACAGGGGTGAGGCAGCTGAATTTAAATTTTTGGACTTGAACTTGTTTTATATGCAATCCCCCTCCCTTAGTTTTTCCAATATTTGTTCAAAGAACTTTGTAGGCTGTTTTTAGGATCGCTAATTTTGTATTTAATTGAGATGTCTTAGCCAAATATACATGACCTGCTGAAAATGCTGCTTCTCCATCCATAGAGATCTGTTGAAATAAAGAGATGTCAAGCCTGCCCAGTTTTGACAAAGATCAGGAAAAAGGCCAGCTGTTTTGATCATGAGAAAAAAGTAAAGTTCAATATGTATTCGCTCACGTGTTTAACACAGTTCATGCAAATGCCAATATAGCCCTTGAGAAAGGCCAATGCTGCTACTGTAGAGTATTAGACTAAGATTTTTTTTTAAAAAAATCAGAGCTCTTAAAATGTTTTTTTGGACTTCTTTTGAAGACTACAAATTCATTAACAATGTAAGAGAGGTCTGATTAATAATTGCTCATGTTTCTGTAAAACCCAGCATGCTTAGCAAAATGGCCTAGTTCCTCTTTGCCTAGGTATGTTTCAAATTTCCTGTATCCTCCATGCACACAGATGGGAGCCCAGTCCGTCTTACCTGGTTTGGTAGGCCAGTAATAGAATGATAATATCTCCCAATTATCACCTTTGCTTTTTGCCTTTCTAGATCCAACAATATCCCATATGCTTGCCATACACTAAATTTCACCATCTCCTATAACTCATTCTCCTTGGTAGGATGCAACATGGAAATTATTCCATATGAAAAAGTTGTCACCTGCAGAACATGATGATAAATACAAGTTTTTTCCAAGTTGTTTTAAGATCCCATTATTACACTGTTTAGCTTTATATTGGTTTTGATAGCTGAAAAACAGATCATTAGATGGATCATTGGATGAATCTTTCCCAAAACCACCTGTTTGTTCATGCTGCGTATAGACATGTAAACATGAGACATGTAGAATAACCATGAGATGTCTTAAACCTACATCTGTTGATAGACTCTAAGCTAGCTAGCTGCCATTGCCCCCCCCCCCAATGTGCGATAGGAAGTTGCTGCCAATTGCAAGAGAAATAAGGTTGAACATGGTGAAAACCAACAATTGTATGGTTATCAGCCTCCTCCCAGTAGACTTCCATGAAGAAGAACCACCTTGAGAACCACCGCCCCTCTGGATGTTCCTTCAGCAACAACAAGACTATCCCTGTGGGCAGCAAAATCAGGATTGCCCCCCACGAGGGTCTTCCTCCAGGGGCAAACCAAGAATGGGAAACTTGGAAGTCCATGAATAGATTCAGAAGCGGAGTTGGCAGATCAAAAGACAACCTGTCAAAATGGCACTACCTAGAAGAATCCTCTATCTTATGTGATTGTGAAGCAGAACAAACAACTCAGCATCTGTATGCTTGCATACAATGCTGTGCCTCATGCACAGAGAAAGAATTGTTGAAAACTACAGACAATGCAGTTGCTGTTGCCCGTTTTTGTTCTAAAGCTATCTAGTAGCTTGTGATCCCTTTATTTTATCAGTTTTAGATAAGCTGTTTCATGCAATGCTTTTGACATGAAATAAATATAATGGTACATATGCAAATTTGACAATAGAGAGATGGGAGAATCAAATAATAAATTTGAAAGTACAGGTTGTCTGTGGCACACTAATAGTTGGACTTCTCTGTTTTCTTTTCTTTCTGTTCTATGATTTCACAAATGTAACCATTTTCCAATTGTCATATCTTGATAAATTTCCATTTCTGGGAGCACTCAAATGTTTCCAGAAAGCTACACACATTTTTATTAGAGAAGATGGTAAGCAATTTTAGGACAGCAGGTGCATTGCTTAGAACTATAAAAAGAGGTCTCATGATATACTTTTAAGGCAGATGTTCTTCAGTTGACTAGGCTCAGATGGAGAGGAATACCAAAAGCCCAGATAATGGAAAAATGTTTTTACCTTGCATCTTTGACTTTAGATGACGTCGTGATGCTTCATATAGCAACGTGCAGAGTTTTAATGTCACTTTCTGAAATACATACAGCATTTTGTTCCTTGGGTAACTGAAGTAGAGCTAGTCATTCAAAGTCTTCACAAAATGTGTCAATTGTTTCTGTGTTTTACAGGTCCGTGTGGTTTTGCTGAACTGGTGTGCATGGTTTTTGAGAATGAAAAAACCCGGCGAGAGCATAAGGCCCCTTTCTTGCAAATACAGCCATTCTAGGCACCAGTCAAGTGTCAGCAGTGTAGAAATGAACGTTTTACCTGGGCACCAATCTAGCAATGGCAATGTGATCTACAGCTACCATGCGATGGAAAATCCTTGTTGCCCCCAGAACAGTGACACAGGTAACAAAAACGGGAAGGGTCCTGAATCTTCTCTTGAAGATAGTGAAATTAGTCAAAGAAAAGCTTTAATGGATACAATCCCAGTTATTGTGAAAATCCTCGAAGAAGTTCAGTTCATTGCGGCCCGCTTCCGAAAACAGGACGAAGGGGAAGAAGTCTGCAGCGAGTGGAAATTTGCAGCTGCTGTCATAGACAGATTATGCCTCGTGGCGTTTTCCCTTTTTGCCATCATCTGTACACTTACAATACTTATGTCTGCTCCAAATTTTATCGAAGCTGTTACAAAAGATTTTACATAAGGATCTCTGAAATGAACAAAACCAGCTCCAAAATGTAACTGGAGATTATGAACGGATGCCATTAATTTTGATAAATGATAAGATATAAAATGGGAAAGTGTACTTTCTGCACTGATCTCAAAGGTGGAAAGCAGTTGGAATAAGTTTCAATATCAAATTGAGTCCCCACTGTTCAAGATGATAGGTACAGGATGAGGTACCTGACTCTGTCACTTGTTTCTTAAACAGTGTCTTCTTCCTGTTCTTGTGGTCAATATTTCTGATAAATATTAGATAAGAAACCAGATTATGCCACATAAACATTACCTAGTTACTATTAAACTTTGTCAACTACTAGGGAAACACTAGTGAACAATTGACTACATTGGTAAATCCTTCCTAGAAACATGTTCTTTGTTAAATGTGTCAGTTTCAGAATTTTTGTTTTAAATATTTCATTAACACATTCATCTATGGTAATGTATCACTTCCGCCTTGAAGTACATTGTTAGTTACAGTTTGCCAAATGAACTGTGCATTTTAGTTTTTATTATCACCGTGATTGTTTAAAATACTTCTCCAATTGGTAATAATGTAACATCCATGCAACACCCTTTTTCTAATATGTTATAAAATGTTTCCTGTTGAATATTCATGTTTTTCTATTACAGGAATTTCAGCTTCCCTTTTCCCTAACAAGAGTGTTGCAGCTCACAGTGTTACTACTCTTGCCTTCAGATTGATTTGTATATAGATACTTAAAGTTCCCTGAAATGCACTGCTTTAACTGATACCGATCCTTTTCCCTTACAATTCCATAGCGGTCCCATACATGCATGAAACCAGCACCTGCCTCACTTGCTGGATGGAGAACCACTCATTATAAATTTAAAACCTATTTAGAGGAGTATCTAAACATGCCCTGAAGCAAGGTTCAGTGTCTTTGCACTTACTGCTTTGAATTGGAATATGTTTTCCCTGGGCTTCTAATCCATTTTACTGCAGATTAATATCATGTTTCAACAACTTCTGCTGTAATGGGTTAAGAAGAAATTGTATAATCCATACAGAGGTTGATAATCAGGGAGTTCCTTCCCAATGAAAAGTAGTTACCTAAAAATATAATCTCCCCATCTTCAATGAGAAATAATGTCTCAGCATACTGAGATACCAATTTGGAGTTTTGATCATGACAAATCCTTAGGTACTGCCAAAAAACCCCAAAACCTTCTGTACATTGCGTGCAGAAAAAAATGTTTTAGTATCAAAAAGGTGTTTGCATCAAACTAGTTTCTGTCCACATGAGGGTTTTTCCAAGTTCAAGGTAAAGGGTTCCCCTGACATTATATCTAGCTGTGTCCAACTCTGGGGGGTGGTGCTCATCTCTATTTCTAAGCTGAAGAGCTGGTGTTGTCCGTAGACACCTCCACGGTCATGTGGCCAGCATGACTGTATGGAGTGCTGTTACCTTCCCACAGAAGCAGTACCTGTTGATATACTCAAACTTGCATGTTTTTGAACTGATCATTTAACAGAAGCTGGGCCTAACAGTGGGAGTTCAACCCATTCCTGGATTTGAACTGCCAACCTTTCAGTCAGCAAGGAGCCCCCAGTGGTGCAGTGGGTTAAACCCCTGTGCCGACAGGACTGAAGACCGACAGGTTACAGGTTCAAATCCGGGGAGAGGCAGATGAGCTCCCTCTATCAGCTCCAGCACCTCATGCGAGGACATGAGAGAAGCCTCCCACAAGGATGATAAATCATCCGGGCGTCCCCTGGGCAACGTCCTTGCAGACAGCCAATTCTCTCACTCCAGAAGCAATTTGCAGTTTCTCAGGTCACTCCTGACACGACAAAAAGAAAGTCAGCAAGTTCAGCAGCTCAGCGGTTTAACCCACTGTGCCACCAGTGGGTCCCCTCTTTAAGTGTAAAAAACATTAAAGTGTGTAAAACCCTTATAATTTTGGCTAGCAGACAGAAAAAAATTGGAATGCTTTCTTACATACAAGCATAAAATACACAAAGCTCTGCATCCCTAATGATAGGCCACACTTACTGACTAAGCAATTTTCTCAGTATCATCTTCCTGAATTAGGGCTACACATGTCCTTATATATAATAATAAACTTACCCTAAATCACAACTTATATCAATTATCCCTTCCAAAAGAAAATGTTACATATGTATCAATGTATGTGAAGTAAAGGAGTAATATTGTAGAATGTACATTTTTTCAACTCTCTTGCAAGGTGCCAAGTCATACTGATGATAGAATTTCTTACATAAAAACCCTATAAATACTACCTGTGTGTGTGTGTATGTGTGGAACATTTATTGCTTACATTTGAGAGATAAAACAAAATGAAACATTGACAGGCTGACTAATATTTCCCCCCTTAGAAATGTTTACTACTATAAGCAATTTGCACTCGGTTCCCAGAAAATCACCATTTCAATGCAAAGCATGTTTCTTTTTGTTTAGGACACATTATCTACCCACCTACCTACCTACCTACCTACCTACCTACCTACCTACCTACTTACCTATCTATCTATCTATCTATCTATCTATCTATCTATCTATCTATCTATCTATCATCACTGATGCACAAAACATAGGAGCTGTTAGGAAATACATGATCAAAAAAGAGAGCGAAATGGAAAATAAATACCACATACATTTTATTACTAAAGTCTAATGCAATTAGTTTAAAAATCATTTAGAAAGAAGCCATGGCCTTCTGACAGTGTAATCACACAGGGTAATTATGCCAATGGCATGACATTAATTTAATGTTACAACTTGGCACCTGGAAGACAATGTGAGCACAACGTAGACATCTGGCTGGACAGCAGCATGCCCTCATTATTCATTCAACTGGCAAAGCAAGGCAGACCCTTTGGAGATCCAGTAGTCACTTGGCCTTTTGGAAGGCAATAAGACAGTAACTACAAAATTGGTGGAATGACCTAATTGAGAAAGGAAGGAAACATTATTAGTTATAAACTAATAATCATTAAAATATACATAAAGCTGATCAAATCTAAAATAAATGAAATAGAAAAAACTTGTTACAGCTCATCTCATTAAGACTAAATGCAATCTAAATATATGTGCTAAGCTCCGAATACACATGATTTGCTCATCTCAGTGGATGTGCAGGTATTGGCTACTTTTTAAGGAAGAGACTTATAGACCCCAGAACTCAATGTATCTGTGGGTCTTCAGACTGCAGGCACCAGGATCAATGTCCTGAAGGCACAAAAATATTTTCTGTTTAATTGTCATAGCATTATAAAACCTGTCCCTGACTCGTATTTACGAATGAAAGGTATTACTATACATAGGGTGTCGCAGCTCAGGGTAGTTTCACCTTGCTCAAAACACCACCACACACCAAGGCTGTAGGTTTTGTAGTTTATTGAGAAAAAGCAAAATCAAAACAGAGAAATAAAGATGCAAAAGTTCAATAAGCAAAACAGAGTCTTAAATGCAAAGGCAAGGTTCCCAAGATCCAAGGGCAAATAACATGAAGCATAATCCCAAATGGTCAAACAAGAGTCCGTGGTAGACAGGGAAAATCAGGATCAAAATCCAAGTCTCAAAGAAGCCAGAAGTGTTCTGCAAAAGCCAAGGTAATTCCACAGAAGTTAAGTGAAAGAGCAATATTGGACTGACAGGGAATGCCTGTCGGCTACATCATTAAACAAGTTTCCCTGGCATGAAAGCATTGCGTTGACCTTTGGCTTCACGCTTGCTCGCAAGACGTATGCTTCTGCGAACTCTTAATTGCAAACGATCCTGTCTACTCGTTAATTCACTATTATCTTCAAGGTTATGCAACTCATTATCTTGGCCCAGCTGGGCCTGATCACTCTGGGAACCGAAAGGAGTCTCCATCTGCACTTGTGGAATTTCACTATCTTTATCTAAAGGCACATTCCTTTCCCCGGGGAACAGGCTTGCTGTTTCTTCTTCAGAAGCCACACTATCAGCCCCATCTGGAAGATGTACAGGAATCTGTAACCCTCAGCTTCCTCGTCATCCTGCAGAAAGTCCACCTCTGAAGGCCCAGCAGGCCCAAACAGTTCAGTCTCAGGCTCAGAATCTGGTCTGGGGTTCCCAGACCACAGCCAAAGTGTAGGGAGGAAATAAGGGTGGGAGGGGAGGAGGTCTATAGAATGCCTGTGGCAGCCACAAACAAGTTGCACAACTGATAACAGTGTCCAGGGGTAGCAGTGACTTTGCCTCAGCCATGGTGACAGGCAGGCATGGAAGGCAGCCGTACTCGCCAGCAGTACACACTGAATCTTTTGCCCAGTTGGCTGCAGATATGGGTGGACAGCAAGGAGGGAGAAAGTGTTCACCACTCCCTTTGCTATTCAAGGTGGGCTCAGGAGGGGGTGCACTATCCCAAGGCATATTGTGTGGGTCTCCTCCTCTCCCACTCCTGCACAAGGCACTCTATCATTTATGATGGGCTCAAGAGGGGATGTGGATACCTTCCCCTCCTGCTCCCACAACAAGTCTGAATTGGAGCCCCAAGGCTCCCTTACCCATATCAAAAGGTGTTTTGGAGCACTGTACTCATCTTTCTGGCTGTAGAATCATAGAATCATAGAATTGGAAGAGACCTCATGGGCCATCCAGTCCAACACCCTGCCAAGAAGCAGGAAAATTGCATTCAAAGCACCCCTGACAGATGGCCATCCAGTCTCTGTTTAAAAGCTTCAAAAGAAGGAGCCTCTACCACACTGCTGAAGAGTTCTCACAGTCAGGAMGTTTTTCCTAATGTTCAGAAGGAATCTCCTTTCTTTTAATTTGAAGCCATTGCTGYGCGTCCTTGTCTCCAGAAAAGAAGCTCACTCCCTCCTCCCTATGACTTTTTCTCACATATTTATACATGGCTATCATGTCTCCTCTCAGCCTTCTCTTCTTCAGGCTAAACATGTCCAGCTCTTTAAGTTGCTCCTCATAGGGCTTGTTCTCCAGACCTTTGATCATTTTAGTCGCCCTCCTCTAGACACATTCCAGCTTGTCAACATCTTCCTTCAGTTGTGGTGCCCAGAATTGRACACAATATTCCAGGTGTGGTCTAGCCAAGGCAGAATAGAGGAGTAGCATGACTTCCCTGGATCTAGACACTAGACTCCTATTGATGCAGGCCAAATTCCCATTGGCTTTTTTGCCACCGCATCACATTGTCAGCTCATGTTTACACTTACAAATATATCTGTTCCAACTTTCATACAAATTGAACTTAAGAATAAACCTTTAGAACCTATAGGGAACTGCCCATAAGGTGCAAGAAAACAAGTAGCCACCTGTGTACCATACTCTAAGAACAAAGTAAACTGGCTGCTATTGTTCATTTAAACACCAGGCCTACCACAGTCTAACAAGTAATATCCACCTGGTGAAAGTGGTTTACAGTGAAATATTAGTCTGTTCCTTCAAGTTTGCATTGAAGTGGCTCTGAAAGTAAGGCATATCTCTCCAGCTCTTTGTTTTACCCGTGACATGGCACTGTCATCCCACTTGGGGGACAAAAGGAGGAAGGACAGGCACAACTGGTGGAGAACGAAGTGAGAAAACAAGAGTGGATTAAAGTGTGAAACAAGAGTGGATTAAAGTGTGAAGTGAAGAAAGAAATATGGAGTTCCAGCCATGAAACTCATATTTCCAACAGGCCAGTGAATACGAGCTTTGTCAGAATTTTAAAAACATTTTTGAAATACATTTAGAATGGTAAAGATGATAAAAAGAGAACTGAAATACAATACAATAAAAATTAAAATGTAACAAAAAATAATGAAACAGATAAGAAAGAAGTGACTTCCGCTGTCCCTTTTGGCAGTTATATATGCATTTAGCTATTCATGCCTCTCTCTCTGAAAATTGCAATACTCCCTTCTTTCAACAGCCTATTCTTTCTAATCGTGCCAGGATTTCTTTTTTGAAGAATTTGAAGATGCCAGTTTTAAGGCACAAGAGTCATAATAGTATTTTATACTGTGGAAATCCTTTTCAAAGCCTGTGCTCTGAAACATGTGTGTCATATCAACGGAAATCTTTGGAAGATTAGATTCAGGACTATTCAATGCATGCACTGGGGTCCTTCTCCAGATCTTTCATTTAATGCTGGAGCCAGAAATGTGGAGGATCCCATGGTGAACTTTTCTGTATTGTGTGATTGAACACCAGCTTCATGTCAGAATACTTCAGGGATGTAATTATTTCCTAATTTCATTCTCAAAGAAAGTAGTAAAAAATTTAACAATGTTCTTCCTACTGCAAGAAAGCATAGTTTTGGAAGACTTTTTGCAGTTTGGGATTTACATTGCACAAAATTGTGAAAAGAGAATTATTATTATTATTATTATTATTATTATTATTATTATTATTATTAAACTTTACTTGTACCCTGCTAGCATCTCCCGAAGGACTCGATGCGGCTTACAAAGGCCAAGGCCTCAATACACAACATAACAATACACCTAAAGCAAATTAAAAACAATTAAAGCAGTATTAAAAACAACAAACAACAAGCAATAAACAATGCATCGAAACACGGTAAAACTGGGCTGGGCCAGAGTAAAGGGTACAAGATTAAAAGTGCTGATGTGACAGGTGATATGTAAGGATTATAGGGCAAGTGCAGTGTGCAGTGTGCAGCGAACTTAATTCTAATAAAGTGCTTCTGGGACTTGGTATTGGAGATTTCCTAATCGGGGAAGGCACTTCGGAACAGCCAGGTCTTCAAGTTCTTTCTGAAGACTGCCAATGTAGGGGCCTGTCTAAGATCTTTCGGGAGGGTGTTCCAGAGACAGGGGGCCACCACAGAAAAGGCCCTGTCTTGTGTCCCCACCAAACGCGCTTGCGACGCAGGCGGGATCACGAGCAGGGCCTCTCCAGATGAACGTAGTGAAAGCGTGGGTTCGTAGACGGAGATGCGATCACGCAGGTAGGCTGGTCCCAAACCGTTCAGGGCTTTTTTGTTTCTGTTCCGGAAACAGTTTGTGGGGCATAAAAATATTTCTGCACAGAGAAATATACCAGGATTCTTCTTGTCGGGATTTTCTAACATTTGAGGAATATGTTTTTTTAAAATATATATTTTCTGGAATATTTTTTCTAGCCTTGGTATCTTTCCCCAGGGAACAACAATAATAAACACTTGTATTTCAAATTTGATTTGTTTAGGGGAGACTATATGTCATTTGCACTACAGTCATTTGGAAACAACCTAATGCTATCTTAAAGCAACTCAAGGGTTGAAATGGAAACACTTTCCTTCCCCAG